AGTTTTACTGAGCTCTGCCCAACAGAGCAACATCCAGCTCTACCCAACACCAGTCCCTCCCATTAGGAAGCGTGCACAAGCCTCTTAGATAGCCTCATCCACCAGAGAGCAGACAGCAGAAGCAAGAAGAACTACAGTCCTGCAGCCTGTGGAACGAAAACCACATTCACAGAAAGATAGACAAAATGAAAAGGCAGAGGACCATGTACCAGATGAAGCAACAAGATAAAACCCCAGAAAAACAACTAAATGAAGTGGACATAGGCAACCTTCCAGAAAAAGACTTCAGAATAATGACAGTGAAGATGATCCAGGACCTCAGAAAAAGAATGGAGGCAAAGATCGAGAACATGAAAGAAATGTTTAACAAAGACCTAGGAGGATTAAAGAACAAACAACTAGAAGAATTAAAGAACAAACAGAGATGAACAATACAATAACTGAAATGAAAAATACACTAGAAGGAATCAAGAGCAGAATAACTGAGGCAGAAGAACGCATAAGTGACCTGGAAGACAGAATGGTGGAATTCACTGCTGTGGAACAGAATAAAGATAAAAGAATGAAAAGAAATGAAAACAGCCTAAGAGGCCTCTGGGACAACATTAAACTCACCAACATTTGCATTATAGGGGCCGCAGAAGGAGATGAGAGATAGAAACGACCCAAGAAAATATCTGAAGAGATTATAGTCAAAAATTTCCCTAGCATGGGAAAGGAAATTGCCACCTAAGTCCAGGAACCACAGAGTTCCAGGCAGGATAAACCCAAGGAAAAACACGCCGAGACACATAGTAATCAAATTGACAAAAATTAAAGACAAAGAAAAATAATTAAAAGTAACAAGGGAAAAATGACAAATAACCTTATAGGAGTTCCCCTGTATGTTAACAGCCGTTTTCTCAGCAGAAACTCTACAAGCCAGAAGGGAGTGGCATGATATGTTCAAAGTGATGAAAAGGAAGAAGCTACAATCAAGATTACTGTACCTGGAAAGGATCTCATTCAGATTCACTGGAAAAATCAAAACCTTTGCCCACAAACAAAAGCTAAGAGAATTCAGCACCACCAAACCAGCTATATAACTAATGCTAAAGGAACTTCTCTAAGTGGGAAACACAAGAGAAGAAAACGACCTACAAAAACAAACCCAAAACAATTCAGAAAATAGTAAAAGGAACATATATATTGATAATTACCTTAAATGTGAATGGATTAAATGCTCCAATCAAAAGACACAGGGTTGCTGAATGGATACAAAAACAAGACCCATATATATGCGGTCTACAAGAGACCCACTTCAGACCTAGGGACACATACAGACTGAAAGTGAGGGGATGGAAAAAGATATTCCATGCAAATGGAAATCAAAAGAAAGCTGGAGTAGCAGTACTTATATCAGATACAATAGGCTTCAAAATAAAGAATGAGGCAAGGAAGGACACTACATAATGATGAAGGGATCAATCCAAGAGGAAGATATAACTATTATAAATATATATGCACCCAATATAGGAGCACTGCAATACATAAGGCAAATGCTAACAGCTATAAAAGAGGAAATCGACAGTAACACAATAATAGTGGAGACTTTAACACCTCACTTACACCAATGGACAGATCATCCAGACAGAAAATTAATAAGGAAACACAAGCTTTAAATGACACAATAGACCAATGAGATTTAACTGATGTTTATAGGACATTCCATCCAAAAACAGCAGATTACACTTTCTTCTCAAGTGCACACAGAACATTCTCCAGGAGAGATCACATCTTGGGTCACAATTCAAGCCTTGGTAAATTTAAGTAAACTGAAATCATATCAATTATATTTTCCAATAACAACACTATGAGATTAGAAATAAATTACAGGGAAAAAACCCATAAAAAATACAAACACATGGAGGCTAAACAATACACTACTGAATAACCAAGAGATCACTGAAGAAATCAAAGAGGAAATCAAAAAACAAATGACAACAAAAACACATGGCAAATGACAACAAAAATGAGACAAATGACAACAAAAACATGACGACCTAAAACGAATGACAACAAAAACACGATGACCCAAAACCTATGGGATGCAGCAAAAGCAGTTCTAGGAGGGAAATTTATAGCAATATAATCCTACCTCAAGAAACAAGAAAAATCACAAATAAACAATCTAACCTTACACCTAAAGGAACTAGAGAAAGAAGAACAAACAAAACCCAAAGTTAGTAGAAGGAAAGAAATCATAAAGATCAGAGCAGAAATAAATGAACTAGAAACAAAGAAAACAATGGCAAAGATCAATAAAACTAAAAGCTGGTTCTTTGAGAAGGTAAACAAAATTGATAAACCACTAGCCAGACTCATCAGGAAAAAGAGGGAGAGGACTCAAATCAATAAAATTAGAAATGAAAAAGGGGAAGTTACAATGGACACTGCAGAAATACAGTATATCCTAAGAGACTACTACAAGCAACTCTATGCCAATAAAATGGACAACCTAGAAGAAATGGACAAATTCTTAGAAAGGTATAACCTTCCAAGACTGAACCAGGAAGAAATAGAAAATATGAACGGACCAATCACAAGTAATGAAATTGAAACTATGATTAAAAATCTTCCAACAAACAAAAGTCCAGGACCAGATGGCTTCACAGGTGAATTCTATCAATCATTTAGAGAAGAGCTAACATCTATCCTTCTCAAACTCTTCCAAAAATTGCAGAGGAAAGAACACTCCCAAACTCATTCTACTAGGCCACAATCACCCTGATACCAAAACCAGACAAAGATACAGCAACAACAACAAAATTACAGACCAATATCACTGGTGAATATAGATGCAAAAATCCTCAACAAAATACCAGCAAACAGAATCCAACAGCACATTAAAAGGATCATACACCATGATCAAATGAGATTTATCCCAGGGATGCAAGGATTCTTCAATATACACAAATCAATCAATGTGATATACCATATTAACAAATTGAAGAATAAAAACCATATGATCATCTCAATAGATGCACAAAAAGCTTTTGACAAAATTCAACACCCATTTATGATAAAAACTCTCCAGAAAGTGGGCACAGAGGGAACCTACCTCAACATAACAAAGGCCATATACAACAAACCAACAGCAAGCATCATTCTCAATGGTGAAAAACTGAAAGCATTTCCTCTAAGATCAGGAACAAGACAAGGAGGTCACCTCTCACCACTATTAGTCAACATACTTTTGGAAGTCCTAGCCCTGGCATTCAGAGAAGAAAATGAAATAAAAGGAATCCAAATTGGAAAAGAAGTAAAACTGTCACTGTTTGCAGATGACATGATACTATACATAGATAATCCCAAAGATGCTATCAGAAAACTACTAGAGCTAACCAATGAATTTGGTAAAGTTGCAGGGTACAAAATTGATGCACAGAAATCTCTTGCATTCCTATACACTAAGAATGAAAGGTCATAAAGAGAAATTAAGGAAACAATCCCATTCACCATTGCAACAAAAAGAATAAAACACCTAGGAATAAATCTGCCTAAGGAGGTAAAAGACCTGTACTCAGAAAACTATAAGACACTGATGAAATTAATCAAAGATGACACAAACAGGTGGAGAGATATACTATGTTCTTGGATTGGAAGAATCAATATTGTGAAAATGCCTATACTACCCAAAGCAATCTACAGATTCAATGCAATCCCCATCAAATTACCAATGGTATTTTTAACAGAACTAGAACAAATAATCTTAAAATTTGTATGGAGACACAAAAGACCCCGAATAGCCAAAAGAATCCTGAGGGAATAAAACAGAGCTGGAGGAATCAGACTCCCTGACCTCAGACTATACTACAAAGCTACAGTAATCAAGACAATATAGTACTGGCACAAAAACAGAAATACAGATCAATGGAACAGGATAGAAAACCCAGAGATCAACCCACACACCTATGGTCAACTAATCTATAACAAAGGAGGCAAGGATATACAATGGAGAAAAGACAGTCTCTTCAATAAGTGGTGCTGGGAAAACTGGACAGCTACATGTAAAAGTATGAAGTTAGAACACTCCCTAACACCATACGCAAAAATAAACTCAAAATGGATTAAAGACCTACATGTAAGGCCAGACAGTATAAAACTCTTAGAGGAAAACACAGAAAGAACACTCTTTGACAGAAATCACAGCAAGATCTTTTTTGACTCACCTCCTAGGGTAATAGGAGTAAAAACAAAAATAAACAAATGTGACCTATTGAAACTTAAAAGCTTTTGCACAGCAAAGTAAACCATAAACATGACAAAAAGACAACCCTCAGAATGGGAGAAAATATTTGCAAATGATTCAACAGACTAAGGATTAATCTCCAAAATATATTAACAGCTCATGCAGCTCAATATTAAAAAAACAAACAACCCAATCCAAAAATGGGCAGAAGACCTAAATAGACATCTCTCCAAAGAAGACATACAGATGGTGAAGAGGATCATGAAAAACTGCTCAACATCACTAATTATTAGAGAAATGCAAATCAAAACTACAATGAGGTATCACTTTTTACCAGTTAGAATGGGCATCATCAAAAAATATACAAACAACAAATGCTGGAGAGGGCGTGGAGGAAAGGGAACCCTCTGGCACTGCTGAGAATGTAAATTGATACAGCCACTATGGAGAACAGTATGGAGGTTCCTTAAAAAATTCAAATAGCTGGGCTTCCCTGGTGGCACAGTGGTTGAGAGTCTGCCTGCCAATGCAGGGGACACGGGTTCATGCCCCGGTCTGGGAGGATCCCACATGCTGCGGAGCAACTAGGCCCGTGAGCCATGGCCGCTGACCCTGCATGTCCGGAGCCTGTGCTCTGCAGCGGGAGAGGCCACAACAGTGAGAGGCCCACGTGCCGCAAAAAACAAACAAACAAACAAATTCAAATAGCTTTCTGCCCATAGACACCACCGAGTAAGCATCGTTGACGTCTCCCCCCTCCACTGTCGTCATGTCTAAGTCAGAGTCTCCCAAAGGGCCCAAACAGCTGCGGAAGCTCTTCATCGGAGGTTTGAGCTTTGAAACAACCGATGGGAGCCTGAGGAGCCATTGTGAGCAGTGGGGAGCACGCACAGACTGTGTGGTAATGAGGGATCCAAGCACCAGGCGCTCCAGAGGCTTCCGGGTTGTCATGTATGCTACTGTGGAGGAGGTGGGTGCGGCCATGAAGGCAAGGCCACACGAGGTGGATGGAAGAGTTGAGGAACCAAAGAAGGCCATCTCAAGAGAAGATTCTCAAAGACCTGGTGCCCACTTAACTGTGAAAAAGATTTTTGTTGGTGGCATTAAAGAAGACACTGAAGAACATCACCTAAGAGATTATTTTGAACAGTATGGGAAAATTGAAGTGACTGAAATTATGATCGACCAAGGCAGTGGCAAAAAAAGAGGCTTTGCTTTCGTAACTTTTGATGACCATGACTCCATAGACAAGACTGTCGTTCAGAAATACCACACTGTGAATGGCCACAATTGTGAAGTAAGGAAAGCCCTATCTCAGCAAGAGATGGCTAGTGCTTCATCCAGCCAAAGAGGTCAAAGTGGTTCTGGAAGCTTTGGTGGTCGTCGTGGAGGTGGTTTTGGTGGGAATGACAACTTTGGTGGTGGAGGAAACTTCAGTGGTTGAGGTGGCTTTGGTGGCAGCCGCGGTGGTGGTGGCTGTGGTGGCAGTGGGGATGGCTATAATGGATTTGGTAATGATGGGAGCAATTTTGGAGGTGGTGGAAGCTACAATGATTTTGGCAATTACAACAATCAATTTTCAAATTTTGGACCCATGAAAGGAGAAAACTTTGGAGTCAGAAGTTCTGGCCCCTATGGTGGTGGAGGCCAATACTTTGCCAAACCACGAAACCAAGGTAGCTATGGTGGTTCCAGTAGCAGCAGTAGCTATGGCAGTGGCAGGAGGTTGTAATTACTGCCAGGAAACAAAGCTTAGCAGGAGAGGAGAGCCAGGGAAGTGACAGGGAAGCTACAGGGTACAAGAGCTTTGTGAACTCAGCCAAGCACCATGGTGGCAGGGCCTAGCTTCTACAAAGAAGACATGTTTTAGACAGTACTCATGTGTATGGGCAAAAAAACTTGAGGACTGTACTTGTGACTAATCGTATAACAGATTATCTTAGTTTCTGTTTTGTGTAAAGTGTAAAGCATTCCAACAAAGGGTTCTAATGTAGATTTTTTTTTTTTTTGTACCCATGCTGTTGACTGCTAAGTGTAATAGTCTGATCATGACGCTGAATAAATGTGTCTTTTTATTAAATGTGCTGTGTAAAGTTAGTCTACTCTGAAGCCATTCTGGTAAACTATCCCAACAGTGTGAAGTTAGAATTCCTTCAGGGTGATGCCAGGTTCCATTCAAAATTTACTTACACCCTGCTTTGGTGGAGAAGCTATTGTCTTCAGAAACTTCGGTGTAGCTGAACTGACAGTTACTGTGTTGTGACCTGGAGTTCACTGTGAAAAGGGTCACCCAAGCAAAGTCATGGAGTTTTTTGGTTATTAATATGATTGTTGGCACATATCCTATGCAATATATCTAAATTGAATTATGGTACCAGATAAAGTTATAGGTGGGAATGAAGCTTGTGTATCATCCATTATCATATGTAATCAATAAATGATTTAATACCCTCTTCTTTGGAATGACAGCTGTATGGATTTGGGACTGGCAGAGCTTTGGACCTTCCCTACCCACTACCCCTGATAATGTTGAATGCTTCTATCACAATTCAAGTTCAAAACTCTGCCAGAGAATAGAAACCAGATGCTGGTTAATGCCACCCCATAAATCCACAAATTAGAAGTTTTCAGGAGACATTTTTAAACTGACCAGTACCAGTAAGGATTTTACTCTTAACACAAAAACAGGCTTACATTAAAGGAAAACTGTGGTTTCTCTTCTGGTTGGGTGGGTCTTTATATAGGTTTATGGAATGACACACTAGTAATTATCTATATGGAGATAAAAATTTGCTGATATGGTAAGGAACCATATTATCTACTTTAATTTATGCTAACTGCAGTTTTCCTTTAAATATGGCACAAGATGACACAACCATTCTAAAATGTTGTTTGTATAGAAAATGATTTCTAAAACTTTATAACAGTTTACTTAATATCCAAACACTGTTATTTGTACATAGCTTCCTTTGAGCCCTCCCTTTGGTGCCCTCAGTTTCAGTGCCATTGTACTTAGTAGGATAGAGATTTGTTTATCACTAGGGAAAAAAAATTAAAATAGAATTACCATATGACCCAGCAATCCCACTACTGGGCATATACCCGGAGAAAACCATAATTCAAAAAGAGTCATGTACCACAATGTTCACTGCAGCTCTATTTACAATAGCCAGGACATGGAAGCAACCTAAGTGTCCATCAACAGATGAATGGATAAAGAAGATGTGGCACATATATACAATGGAATATTACTCAGTCATAAAAAGGAACGAAATTGGGTCATTTGTAGAGATGTGGATGGACTTAGAGACTGTCATACAGAGTGAATTGAGTCAGAAAGAGAAAAACAAATATTGTATATTAACGCATATATGTGGAATCTAGAAAAACAGTACAGATTAACTGGTTTGCAAGGCAAAAATAGAGACACAGATGTAGAGAACAATGTATGGACACCAAGGAGGGAAAGCAGGTTGGGGTGGTGGTGGTGGTGGTGGTGGTGGTGGGATAAATAGGGAGATTAGGATTGACATATACACACTAATACGTATAAACTAGGTAACTAATAAGATCTCCTGTATAAAAACAGAGAAATAAAATTAAATTTAAATAAATACAAGATCTATGGGATAATACAAAGCACGCCAATTTACACATAATAGGGGCTCCAGAGGAAGAAGGAGAGAGAGAAGGGAATCAAAAATGTATTTAAGGGGCTCCCCTGGGGGTGCAGTGGTTAAGAATCCACCTGCCAATGCAGGGGACACAGGTTTGAGCCCTGGTCTGGGAAGATCCCACATGCTGCGGAGCAACTAAGCCTGTGCGCCACAACTACTGAGCCTGCATGACACAACTACTGAAGCCCGTGCACCTAGAGCCTGTGCTCTATAACAAGAGAACCCACCACAATGAGATGCCCATGCACTGCAATGAAGAGTAGCCCCCACTCTCCGCAACTAGAGAAAGCCCACACAGCAACGAAGACCCAACGCAGCCAATAAATAAATAAATTCGTTAATTAATTTAAAAAAAACACTTAACTTCAAAAAATGTATTTAAGAAATTATGGCTGAAAAATTTCCAAACCTAAAGATGGAAACAGATATTCAGGTGCAGGAAGCACAGAGTATCCCAAACAAGATGACCCCAATTAGACCCACACCAAGATATATCATAATTAAAATAGCAACAGTTAAAGAGAGAATTCTAAAGGCAGCAAGAGAAAAACAAAGAGTCAATTACAAGGAAACCCACATAAAGCTATTAGACAATTTCTCTGCAGAAGCTGTGCAGACCAAGTCCTGAAAGGGAAAAACGGGCAACCTAGGATATTCTACCCAGCAAGATTATCATTTAGAATAGAAGAAGAGATAAACAATTCCTCAGACAAGCAAAAGCTAAAAGAATTCAACAATACTAAACCTACCCTAAAATAAACATTGAAGGGTCTTATCTAAATAGAAAAGAAACAAAAATCTACAGGAAAGGGAAAAATCATAATAGGAAAGGCAAATATATAGTCAGGACTAAAGATCACTTAGATAAGCCAGGACATAGATTAAAAAAACATCCAAAAATTTTGTAAAAGTAATTGTAAGTACAATTAAAATCAAAACAATAAACATACAGATGTAAAATAGGACATCAAAATTACAAAAGTGGGAGAGGAGAGTTAAAAATGTAGATTTTTAGAATGTGCTTGAACTATTATGACTATCAGTCTAAAGTAAGTAGATACAGTTATGGGTCAACATACCTGAAAACCAGGGAAACCACAAATCAAAAACATACAATAGTTCACAAAAACCAAAAAGAAAGGAACTCAAGCATACTACAAAAGAAAATCATCAAACCACAAAAGGAAAAACAAAAAGAAGAAGAATGGAACAAAGAACCACAAAAACAACTGGAAAACAAGGAATAAAATGGCAATAAGTACATAACTATCAATGATTACTTTAAATGTCAATGGGCTAAATGCTCCAATCAAAATGGATAGAGTGGTAGATTGGATAAAAAAATAAAGCAAGAACCTACGCTATGTTTCCTATAAGAGACTCACTTCAGGTTGAAAGACACCCACAGATTGAAAGTGAGCAGATGGAAAAATATACTTCACGCAAATGTAAACAACAAGAAAGCAGGGGTAGCAATAATCATATCAAACTAGTAGACCTTAAAACAAAGTCCATAAAGAAAGACAAAAAAGGACATTATATAATAATAAAGGGATCAATACAATAAGAGGTTATTACAGTTGTTAACATATATGCACCAATATAGCAGCACTTAATATATAAAACAAATACTAACAGACATAAACGGAAAAACTGACAGGAGTACAGTAAGAGTAGGAGACTTTAACATCCCACTGACATCAACAGACAGATCTTTAGAAAGAAAATCAATAAGGCAACAGAGGTCCTAAATGATACAATAGACCAGTTGGACTTAAATGATATCTACAGGACACTACATCCAAAAAAACCCCCAGAATACACATTCTTTTCACGCTTGCATAGAACATTCTCTAGGATAGAACACACACTAAGTCACAAAACAAGCCTCAACAAATTTATATCAAGCATTTTCTTCCAACCACAATATGAAACTAGAAATCAACTATAGAAAGAAAAATGAGAAAAGAACAAACACGTGGAGACTAAACAATATGCTACTAAAAAACCAATTGATCACTGATAAAATCGAAGAGGACCAGAAAATACCTTGAGACAAATGACAATGAAAACTCAGCTTAACAAAATCTGTGAGATGCAGCAAAAGCAGTTCTAAGAGAGAAGTTCATAGTGAAACAGGTCTTCCTCAAGAAACAAGAAAAATCCCAAATAAACCACCTAACCTACCACCTAAAAGAATTAGGAAAAGAAGAACAAACAAAACCAAAGTCAGCGGAAGAAAGGAAATAATAAAGATCAGAGAGGAAATGAATAAAATAGAGATTAAAAGACAATAGAAAAGATCAATAAAACAAAGATCTGAGTTTTTTGAAAGATAAACAAAATCAACAAGCCCCTAGCCAGGATCACCAAGAAGAAAAGAGAGAGGACTCAAATAAATAAAATAAGAAATTAAAGAAGCGGAATAATTACTGATACCACAGAAATATAAAAAATAAGGGAATACTATGACCAGTTATATGCCAACAAATTGGACAACCTAGAAGAAATGGACAAGTCTGTAATTAAAAAAAAAACCAAAAACCTCCAAGCAACAAAAGGCCAAGACTGGATGGCTTCACAGGGGAATTCTACCAAATATACAAAGAAAAATGTATACCTATCGTTCTCAAACCATTTCAAAACTCTGAGGAGGAGGGAACACTCCCAAAGTCATTTGATGAAGCCACCATCACCTGGACACCAAAACCAAAGACACTACCAAAAAGAAAATTACAGGCCAATATCTTTGATGAATATAGATGCA